CAATCGAGGTGACATCATAAAACCTACACATCACATCCCAGACCTTGTCACTGTGATCCCCAAACACATCTCTTCAAATGACACTTTATCCCCCAAATAAATCCTTAAGACTGCCTACCAGGATCTTGTAAATAACTAGAAATGCTGAGTAACAAGTCTCTGTTCCAAAGTCTCAGCAGGTGCAGCACAGTTCAAAACTCCAAGCTCAGGTCTCTTCTGAGGTTCAAGGCAAACTTGTAGCCACGAATCTCTGCAAAAGTTAAAGACAGACTAGGGAGCCTTTTTACCAACGTGGCACAGAAGGCAAATAAGGAAGCCCTTGTGCCTCCCAAAGCTGGTGCCAAAGCAAGAACTCTGAAGGCCAAGAAGGCCATGAGGAAAGGCATCCACAGCCACAAAAAGAAAAAGCAAACATCACCCACCTTCCACCATCCCAAGACGCTGGGGCTCTGTAGGCAGCCCAAGTACCCTCGGAAGAGCGCCGCCAGCAGAAACAAGCTTGACCACTATGCCATCATCAAGTTCCCCCTGACCACAGAGTCAGCCATGAAAGAGATCGAGGGCAACAACACACTCGTGTTCATTGTGGATGTCAAAGCCAATAAGCACCAAATCAAACAAGCTGTAAAGAAGCTCTATGACATGGATGTTGCCAAGGTCAGTACCCTAATCGGGCCTGATGGAGAGAGAAGGCATATGTTTGACTGGCTCCTGATTATGATGCATTAAATGTTACCAACAAAATCAGGAACATCTAAACTGAGTCCAGCTGGCTAATTCTGCATACATACTTTTTTACCCCATTAAAAAAAGACAAAATAGTTTGAATAATTATCCATTTCTGCTGGTCTTTTGAAAGGAGCATTTAATGCTTAAAACTTTTTACTCTGATTTTTTTCCTTTCTTTGAATTTCTTATCACTTCTTTATTATGGTTTTGTTGTTTTTCTTTTTTTGCGGAACTGGGGATTGAACTCAGGCCCTTGTATTTGCCAGGCAAGCGCTTATTCTACTGAGCTATCTCCCCAGCCCCCTGATAATCTGAAGATAGCATTATGTAATACAGCAACCACTGCTGAATTCCCATTACTTTGAATCTTGTATTGTTTCTAATGCTGTTTTTTTAATCACTATTTTCCACTCTTTAAAAATAAAAAATAAGTTTAAAAATTAAAAAAGAAGTTACATAATCTTACAGAATGGCACGGGGGAAACATTCCCATTCAAAAAGGAGGCATGGGACAGCAGTGACCTTCTGGCTCCCATGCTCCTGCAGGCTGTTTGTACTGCTGCAAGCTCTAAGAGCTTTAGCACCACTGGCACAGGGCAGAGAACAAAAAGTCAGACCAGAGACAGACCAAAACCCAGCAGAGCAAATGCTATAGTTCCAGCTCCAAGATCAGGCTTCGTGGTGCTAGGACGTCAGTTCCACAGGGCTTGGGCTACACTCCTAGGGCCTACTCTTACCATCCATATCCCACAAAGCTTCAAGACATAAGCACAATACAGAGAAATTTTCTGCAAGAGAATAACTCACAGCACCTCCAGGCCAATTGCTAATGCAGTCCTCGCTCCCAGCCCAGCATCTACTGCCTGCATTCCTATCCACATTCTGGTCTTCTGAGCTCCAGGCAGATTACCCATCAGGCTCTCCTTTCAGCATTTCAAACTTCCCCTACAAAACCCGTCCCTCAGGTTTGTAAAACACAAAGTAATGACCCCACCTCAGGTACCAAACTTTGTGCTAAATTCCCATCCCTGGGACACAATACCAACATCTACAATTTATTTATTTATTATTAATTTTATTGAGAAACAAATAGCAATGAGACAGTTTCAAAACTGATTAATAGGAAGTTTCAATAATTAATACATTGTACATTGCTATCTTCTTAGTGGGTATCCGTAGCACAAGACGCAGACATGCTATCCTGTCCAAACACTATACAGGGAAGATTTAATGTGCTTCTTGGACTCAGGAGATTCTACTTGTGGTTGAGTGGCTCTAAGCAGAAACATCATGGAGGACGGTCATGACAGAGCAAAGGTATTTAGTTCATGGTATCTGGGAAGCAGAGTGAAGGAGCAAAGTCCGAGAGAAAGGGGAAGGGACCAGAGCCATGAACACCCAGACACACAAAAGCACACTCCACCAATCTCTATCTAGGGTGGCTTCCAAGCTAGTAGCATTGCTATAATGAGTCTCAACCGTCCCAGTAATGTTCTATGAGATAAGGGTGCCATATTTTCCTTTACTCAACAGTGACAGCGTCTACTCCTTGCTAGCAGCTTGGGAGTCAGTAAAGATGCCGTCTCTGAACATCGAAAGCCCAGTGGAACAAGGAGTTCATAATGAGGGAGCCGGAAGGAAGGAGTGCAGCAGCAGAGAAGCAGCTGCCTTCTACTAGATGGTAACTCGCTGGGGAGTGAAGCGCGTGCTCGCTCTCTCTCTCGCTCTCTGCCTACTAAGAGAGGCTCAGGGGCTCAGGAGCTGAATTTATGAGTCAAGCGTGCTCAGATTTTATTTGTTCTTTTTCTTCTGCTTTCTGTCTGAGCGCAAGCACAACCCACTCTACAGGAATCTACTCAGGAGGTGGCTTTTGGTGGCAAACTACCCCTTCTTAGCACCTCTCAACCATCAAATGAGGAAGTTTTAGAATAACTGTGAATATTTGAGTTTAAACTATTCCCATTTCCCATTTTTGCTTTTCCAAATACTTTTATGTCAAATAATATACTCCATTCCAGTTAAATCACTAAACATACATACCAAGTTCTCAGAATTTTTATATCTTTATTGCCAAAGAGTGAAGTGGAAAAAAATCTACAGCTAATAAGTACCAAATTAAACTGTACATTTTTATCACTTTTTAAAAGCCAGCATCCAAAATAATCAGGTTTTGCAGTAGATCCTACCAGGAAGTCACCTGAGCAGATGTTCCAAGCAAACTTCTCTAGATATTTCCATTTGGAACAAAAAATCAAAGCAGATACATTTAGCGTATCTAAAACCACATCCTATCTTTCGGTCCCAGAGAGGTGTCTTCCTTTCCCTGGGACACCACTGCTATCTTCCCAGTCGGCCCCCTCGTCTCCTTTCGAGCGTGTGTTCAGTCCTTGAGCGCTCCCAGCCTGTAAGGCCCCCATTAGTCCTGCTGCTCTCATCATCTTCTACTGCTTCATCCTCTCACTCTGTTACCAATTGGTTCTTGGTTCAAAATCTTCAAAATGTTACTGCAAAATTAATGAATTTTAAACTATACATCTGATTATCTTGGGTTTTTTTTTGTTTTTTTTTTTTTTTTTTTTTTTCAAACCTTCCAATAGCTTTGCTTTCACTAGTAAATTAATTTCACTGTGAAATTTCAGTTGCCAATCTTTAAATGTCACTGAAGGCCCCCTTCCTACAATTAAATTCAGTCTAACTGTATTTCTTACTACTCTTCATTAGTAGAATTGAAGGTGTTATTTACCTTCCTGCTCCATGTCTCCGTTTTTATTTCTCCCACAACCTACTCTTTTTTCAGTGTTAAGTGGTAAGTTTAACCAAGCCTGCAAAGCCCCAGATAACTCCCCTCTCCCCCAGAACACGCCAGTCCTAAGCCCAACATTCCCACTGCAGCTCTTGGAATCCTGTACGCCCTCTTTCTCTTTTTCATATTCATTGCACCTTTACCCTGCTCCAACAGCACGTCCATTACCCCATGCTCACCTTGGTGTGTCTCTTTTGTTATTTTTCCTGTATTTTAGGGAAGGCTCTGCAGGGTGGTCAGGGTCTCACTACTAGATCAGACTCATAGTAATTGTCCTGTTTACAGCCTCCCAAGAGCTGAGATTATAGTTCAGACTATACTGCACCACCATGCCCAATCTCAATCGCAGTTTCAGCACATCCCGGGGGGGGGCGGAGTGGTGGGGGGCAGCCCCAGGGGCTGGGAGAGGGTCTGGCCCACTCTGCGCCTGGGGGGGGGGAGGCACCATGGCAGGCCTGGGGATCAAACTCCCGGGCTCTGTGCCTGCTTGCAGGCACTTTAATCTGCTGAGCTATTTGGCTGGCCCTTGGTGTGTCTCTTATCCTACACTTGTAATGACTAGGTGGTACTGAACGGCAAAAATCATCCCTGCAAGCGCTGGTGTGAGAGAACCTCTCACTCAGGAATGCCTAATAGCTTAGTGTTGTTAAAGCCTGTTACTGCCAAAGTGTTTTAAACAGAAAAAGCATGAGGTCTACTACACTATACTATTTCTATAATAATCTGAATCTTCTTCCCATCCAAGTACTAACCAGGCCCGACCCTGCTTAGCTTCCGAGATCAGACGAGATCGGGCACATTCAGGGTGGTATGGCCTTAGACAATCTGAATCTTCTTGTACTGTATCTTATGAGTAAAATCTAGAGCTCCCTCTTAGATAGCAGGAGGACAGTAGGGGCAGCAAGTGCGGCAATTGAGGGCACATGATAAGATCATGAATTCTGCGGAAAAGGGCGACTGTGGCCCTGGGTTTGGTAGTGAGATGAGCAACTCAATGGACACAGTAACGATCTTTTCTTCTATTATTGAGACAAATTTTGAAATTACTCTCATATCTTCTTAACATTCCAAATACAGAGGTTCTGCAATTTATGAACACTTGTTTATGAACAACTTGGTTCACAAAAGCATCTGGCAAAATTTCGGGGTTTTTTTGCAAACTTCCTATGACAAACATGATCATGATCATCTTCCCTGCACACAGAAAACATGGACACCTTTTCCAAAATCATGGAACAAATTAAGTTCGTGAATTGAGGTGCCACTTTGAAATGATTTTTTAAATAAAACAGCGAATACCCTTGACCATAAATATCTGCTTGATAGGAAAAATGTCCATTTGAACCAGTAGCTCATCATCTTCTGCAATATTATCAATCACTCTCCAATTATTCAGCTGAAATCAATAGCTAAAAACTTTGGAACTCATCCAACTACAACTGTGTGACAAGGCTGTCACCATACATACCCTGAAACCCTTTGAAGCAGCAATATGGGCAGCTGTCCAGCCCTCTCTGTCCGCATGGTTAATGAGGTCTGCAGGAACAACAGGCGCGCCTGTGTCTTCAGGACTCCCTCCTCCTCCATCCAAGGCACAGGAGCCAGGCTCAGGTTCCTCCTCACTCTGAGAGTCTCTGCGGGCTGGTGTTCGGTGGAACATAAGGAGCTTCAGGCTGTCCACATTACCAGTGTCCACGGCTGCGTGAACTGGTGTCCACCCATCCTGAAATAAAATGATCAGGGACAAAGGGTTGACAACAACATTAATATTTAGAATACTGTCACTTAAAGTCCATCCACCTCTAAATGTCCGTGGGCGGGCATGCCACACTGAGCTGTGGAGATGGGTTTGCCAATCCTGACGGTCGCTGGCGAGCCAAGTCCCCTCACCTCGGTTGGCCACATTGCTCACTGCTACGACTCATGCTTGCTGCTTCTGTAATCATTTCCACCTAATGATTAATCACCTAGAGGGAGAAGGTACTGTCCAAGCCCATAACTGAGGATTATGTATAATAGCCTATAATCTCAATCTGATACTATTAAGGGAATAAACATTAGCCTGAAGTTGTTTTGTTTTGTCTTGAAAGTATAAGAATAGTGTTTCTGAATAAAATACATAACTGAGAAAAGAAAAATTAAACTATTTTCTCAGATTTTTAAAAAATTAATATAGAGAGTTCTGTTTCTTATTTTTTAAGGCTCTAGCAATAAGATTCACTGGAAATGTTCATACTTGGCTTACCATGTACTATTTCATCCTTACCTATTTGTTTTTATTGCGATAATTTCTTAAGACAACCACTAAGACCACAACAGTGACAACTCAGTCCACAAACATAGTTATTTCCACAATTCTGGCCACAAATTGAATTGGCCATGAGTGGACTCAAATTTCCCCCTCAGGTCAACATTGCATGTGATTAGTTTGTGAATCAAGGAAAGAAGAATTAAATTTGTGAACTGAGGTATTACTGCATTTTTTGAATGAATAAAAACTTTACTGCTTTCCTTAATTCAGGAAATAATGTGAACACCCTATTTTTGTTTCATGGATGAATACGTTGTAGTTCACAGGTTGAAACACTGCTTGAGTGCACAAGGCTTTTAATCAGCAAGGAAGAGACCCAAGAGGTCAGGCACTTCCCACATCAATATCCTAAAGCAAAGCACAACTAGGCAAGTACCTATGGGAACTGATTCCAGGGTCCCCCTTTGCACAAACCCATGTCCTTTATAAAACATGGCACAGTGTTTTTATATAATGTGCACACATCCATTCTTTAAGTCCTTTCTAGATTATAATACCTACTAAGCTAATGCTACTTAAACAGTTGTTACATTGCACTGTTTAGGAAATGACAAGGAGAAACTGCATATGTTTAATAGATACATAATTAAATTTTTTGAGCCACAATTGGTCAAATCTGCATGCAAAGCTGTCAGATATGCAGGCACACTGTAAATTACATATACAAGGAGGTACTCACTCTGGTTTTTACACTCCGGTCAGTGCCAGCTTCCAATAAGAGTTTAATACATTCTCTATTTCCATTTTTACAGGCCAGGTATAGAGGTGTCTGTCCTCCAGCAGCAGCGTGATTAATGTTAGCATCATATGCAATTAATAATTCTACACACCTAAATACAAGGTAATGATTAATTTCATAAAAAGTGGGGTTAACCCTTGAAAAGCACCACCTTACCAAGATTCTAAATATAGATAATAATTCTAAAATAACTCTGCATCTTTATAAGTATCAATTATTTTTACATCTATATATCAATTATTGTGGACTTTACTGCATGGATTATTTTTTGCAAAGCTACAAATATATTATAGTGATTAAATTTAACTGCAGAAGGATGAGTTTTTTTGGCTAGCTCGGGCTGCCTTATGGGTGGGTCTGGTGTGGTCTGTGGAGCTGGGGATGGAACTGTGGTCCCCAGAGCCTGACTGCATTTGCTCCAGTGGCGCTTTAAACAACCGAGCTAACCTGCAATCCCCCATTTAATTAAATGTAACTGCATGAAAATTTAAAATTTCACCAAGTGATACATTCTACTTTATGTCACTTCTCTCTTTGGAAATCTGACTTATTGAAATGAATGGCTTAATTTTACTCAATACACACACACACACACTCACAAACTTGAACGTGTGGTTCAAAATAGTTTCCCCCTTGAGAAAAGTCAAGCTGCTGAGTCATTCTGCAATTTTTCACTTGAGAAAATAATTATAAATAGCACAGACAGCAGGGCACCATGTGCCCCCACTACAGAAAGCAGCAAGGGCTGCCGCGGGGGTCCAGGATGGCGCAGGCTGCTCTCTCTAGCGAAGGGACGGGCTGATGAGGACAGTTGTGCAGAAATTCAGAAAGGAACGAACGAACAAAGGTAAAATCAAGATTCGGTGGCAGCTTAGTGACTAGCAAAACACCGAGCTTGAACTGCAAAATCACTTCAGAAAAAATCAGTTCAGAAAGGACTAATTTTAAATAGAGAAGCAATTCACTTTAAATAAAAAACCTCAGGCACATGGTTTTTGCTTTTATTTTCCTTTGCAATATTTGGTTAAAATAGCTGTCTGTCTGTTTGTCTGTCTAACATCTATCTATCTAAGCTATATAAATAACTTGCATGCTTGTGTATATCATACATACTAAAATTAACAGATTCCTACATTGAGTCTCAAAGTTTTTTCCTTTTGCAAAGCTACGCCTGTCCCCTTCCTGTGAGTGCTCCACCTTCTAAGCACATGTTCCCACACATTGCCAGTGGAGAGGTAAAAGTAAAAGCATACCCTAGAAGGGAAAAAGTCTTCCTGAGATTTGGTACACATTCAAAAAGAACAATGATCAGGGATACAGCTCAGTGGTACAGTGCCTGCCTGGCAAGTATAAGATCCTGAGTTCAATTCTCAGTACAAAAAAAGAACAAAATCAGTGTCTGTGCTTTTCAACAGTAAACTTGGGCTGATGAGATGTTATGTTAGGTACACAGAAAAATAATCCCATATATTAATGATACATTTTGAGTGCCATAGAATTTATACTTACAATTAACATTAACACGTACTTGAAAATCTATCTTTTTAAAGTCTCCAATTTGCTAAAACCACTTGTATCAGGATAGTTGTACTGAAATGTGGAAAGCAGCTTGCATTTCCCACGCTTGCTATTTCATAGTCAAAGATAGCAACTTAGCTAAGTTCTATTACTAAAATATGATGTTTAAAAAACCATGCTTCTATCTACTGACTTTGTAAGCTCAAGAAATCATGGCTAAAATTATGTGTATCTGAATTAGTAAGCATTCCATTTTATTTCTGTATTTTGATTTTTTTTAATTTTTATTTATTTATTTATTTATTTTGGTTTTTGTTTCATCTGGAGATGGGACCTCACTTTGTAGCTCAGGTTAGCCTTGAACTGCCCGTCCTGCTTCACTTTCCTGAGTACCAGGATTATGGGTGTGCAGCGCCACACCTGGTTCTCCCAGGGGTTTCACGACCAAACTCTTTTCAATATGGAAAATTCCTTCCTCCAGCTTTTAAAACAGTGAAACAAGATGACTACTTGAGATGTAACATTACTGAGTAAACTGCCATTAGGAAGTTAGAAGCATTAAAATATAATTCTGCATTGTACTTTTAATGTCATTGTGAACAAACAGCTCCTGCGGAGTCAGGCAGGGATCCGGGAAGCGCAGCCGGCCCTGGGGCCCCTTCCCTCGCTGCGCGGAGACACGACAGAAGACCTTCGTGGAAGCAAGCGCTCGATTTCCACTCTGCACCTCCTGGGTTCCACTTCTTCACTTCCCTCAGGTACACCGACTTAACTACTCTGCCTTTAAATCCTCAAATACAGGGCTGGGCGGATGGCTCAGTGGAATAAGTGCTTGCCTAGCAAGTGCAAGGTCCTCATGTTTGATCCCTGGTACCGCCAAAAAAATCTTTTAAAAAATCCTCAAATACAATTGTTGAACTTACCTGCCAATGCATTTGAAGCACTAATTTATACATTTGGCTGTAGCTAAACTATGTTTGCAAATTATAAACAGAGGCTATTTTCATAGAACAAAACATTAAAAAGCCTCACTCACTCAAAACGTCCCTGAGCAGCCGCAGCACACAAGGGTGTGAAGCCGTCTTCGTCAGCAGTGTTGACTGCAGCTTCCGCACTCAGCAGCAATCTCACACAGTCTACGGATGTTTAACAGAAAGCAATTTTAATTCCCACCTTGCGTTTTGATGAGCCGACTTCTCTGCAAGCGGCACAGATCTGAAAGCCCATGGAGCTCTCTGCGCAGCTGACCTGAACAGCCCAAACACGGCCCACCTGAGATCCCAGCTATGTCGCAAGGAAAGTAGCTTCTCTTCCAGGATGATGCCCCACGCCCCCCCCCCTTTTTTTTGTATTTTAGGGAAGGATCTACAGGGTGTTCAGGGTCTCACTACTAGATGGACTCGGAGTGATCCGCCTGTTTACAGCCTCCCAAGAGCTGGGATCACAGGCGTGCGGCACCACGCCCAGTCTCAATTGCTGTCTCAGCGCGTCCCGGGGGCGGGGCGGCACTGCAGGCCTGGGGATCAACCCCTATCCCCTGCGCCTGCTGGCAGGGGATTTAATCTGCTAAACTGTTTGGCCGGCCCCCCCAAACTTTCTAAGGCATGAATTTTTCCAGTGCTTTGGGAAGAGTTACTGGTGGGTAGTGTCATGTTCCAGAAAAGGATTTACTATATTTTTTTCCCTCCCAGCCTGTATTAGAAATTATGTTTTTGTACAGCAAACAAAATCCATTTACCAACTTGGAACACCATTATTTCTATTTACATAGTTAAATTCTTACTTTATGATGCTAATTTAAGCATGAAGTGCCTTTCTGTAACAACCACCACACCCTGACTGCAGGAGTAAAGACAGTCACTGAAAAACAGTCATCCAGGGCACACACATTAACTGCTGCTCACGTTCACTTTGTTATTCCCATTTTTTTTTAAGAATTCAAAAGTACTCTGGAACAACTGGGCTATTTTAGCTCACCAGAATTTTCCATTTATCTGAATAAACTGACAATCATATGGCTCACATGTGCAATGCTATTTTAGTGTGTGCTTGCAGCTAATTCATTTCTTTCTGTACCACCATAATTTTAGTATTTTTAAACTACAGAATTTGCATTTTAAAGAACAGCAACTATTCCAAGTCTTCACTGACATGCCATATAGTTATATAACTTTTCAGTTCTCTGCAAAAGATTCCAACAAAGTATACGTCGTTGCAACTGTGGACCAATTTCAGACGTATGGCTCCTTGGAGCGACCCAAAGTCCCCTCACTGTAGCACTGGTGAAAGCCTAATAATGGTCCTTCTCTCCCATCAACTATTTCTAACAGAGAAGTTTTCTTGTTTTGAGCAAAAGGTCATAGATAGATGGCTTTATTCTAAAATGCGCTTTATGGCTAATAGACCTCAGACTTCTAAGTGTACTTTTCATTGTGCATAGAACATTTTTAACTCGCTGCAGTAAAATTTTACATTAAATAACTATGTATGTTGAATTCTTTAATGTTTATAGAACTTTAAATCTCAGGTGAAAAATTATCCACTGCTACCTCTAAGAGAAAACTGAAACCAAAATGAACTTCTTGCCCCTAATAATGGTTACAAGGACTTTCACCTTCCGTACTTTGTCAAGTGCATGCTGTGAAAAAAGATCACTCCATTTTTACCTGTATGTCCATTCTTAGCAGCAGAATACAAGGCAGAATGGCCATCTTCACAGGAGTAATTAATGTCCAGTCCTTCTTCATTAAGCAGCATTGATAATAAAGTGACATTTCCCTGGGCAGCAGCTTGCTGAAGAAGGGTGGGCCTGCCAGCCAGGGGCACAGGACCACCACTCATTAGCAAAGGGGTTAGGGAGGGTGACCAGCCTGTAGGTTAAAGTGACCCTTGTTAGAGAGAGGGAGTAAGGAAAAAAGATATTGCTATTCCCTCCTGAGTTACAGATGCACACACACACACACACACACACACACACACACACACACACACGTGAACACAGGTCCCTAGAGCATTATGTGGTTTCTAACAATATCAATTTGTTAATACTTTCAGAGCACAAGTCTGTACTGTTAGTATAGATCATATATCTGCTGCTAATGAAATTCGCACATGGTGACAAGTTATTTTTAGTTGTCAGTCTTACACAGAAAAGTGTTAAAGTAATGACTGGTTTTAGGAATTAAAGTGGATGTGACATTTTTAAACGCTTAAATTCTCCTTCAGAATTTCAAACAATTGGAATTTTGAAATGATATAAAGGTTTCCTCAATTTCAGTCTCAGTCTGAGAAAGTAAAATGTTATTTTTAGGTATAGGTAAAATGACAGTATGAAATAAAGACTTCCTTTCTTAACAATGTTTCAAATTTAATTATGAATTTTACATAACCTATTAAGATGTGTCTAATGCTGTCAAGGAATCTACTTATATTCTTTGAATTCCCTTATTTGGGAATAAAACTAATGGTGTTAGTTACTACTCAGTATTAACAGCTAATAGAAATACAACAGGTATAACCAGTTCTAGAATACAGCAACGCAAATATTCAATAACACTTCCATAGACTATGTTATTCAGCCAGCCTTACAACAGGTCTAACAAACTTTTAATCAGCCAACAAAACAGGACACTCTACCATGTAGTTTTAACAAGAATCACTAAGAGTTATCAGGGTTAGATACTGCTCATCAGAATTTAGAAGCTTTAGAAGAGAATCTGTTAAGGGTATGAAGTTGGTTGTACACAGCATGGAAAATTTTCTTTATTCTTCCTTGTTCAAAAAGCTGCAAAAACAGTAACGTAAAACGTTTATTTAATATGATATATATGTATTTGTATCTTTTAGGCTTAAGTACAGTGAGCTTCCAAAATAAGTCATTCTTGTTTTCTTTTTAAAGAAATCCAATATTTCTAAAGAGCACTGAGGACAAACACAAGAAATCATTCCTTAGGGTACACTTTCCACTAACATACGGTAAATACCCTTTAATCATATCCAATAGACAGATGTTTTACAATTCCTGCACTTTAGTATCAGAACCATACTCTAGATAGAAGGGTATTTATTATATTCATATATGTTTATAGTACTCAATTGTTATTATTAAATCCCAAGCCACTGGCCTTTAATTATTTTAATAAATATCGAAGAAACTTCTCTGTAAAAAGTTCTTTATAAGGGCCAGGGAGATGGCTCAGTGGAATAAGCACTTCCCTGGCAAGTGCAAGGACCTGAGTTCAATCCCTGGTTCCTAAAAAAAAAAGAAAAAGAAAAAAAGATATCCTATTTACAAAAAGTTCTTTATAAAAAGACTAAACAAGGCATTTATACAAATGAGACTGTATTATTTTTTAAAAACTGGCTGTACCTTCATAATCAATTACTTGGATCTGTGAAATAGTTTGGGTTTACCCTATTAGGATTATTGTAGTGACAGACAAAATGCTCATAAAATTCAGTATTTATCTAAACTTTGGGGTGTTTTCCCATTGATATTCATTAGGTCTTCTTACAAAAGTTGTATTTTTACTTCATACTTACAAGAAGGCTCCTCTCTGGTACATTTTACCTTTTGTATTTTCTTAAAAACAAACACACAGAAAGAACAGGCCCATAAAAATTAAATCAGTACTTATTAGAAATGGATGATAAACAGAGAAATCATAAACACCTAGGTATGAAACCTTGACTGTAAAGCACATACAGGCAATAAAAGGCGCCACACTACAGCCCTCTGTGGAACAGGACGGACTATGGCTCATGCTGTTGGTGTCTCTGTCTTTCTCTCATTCTCATCTTGTCCAAGGTGTCTTCATGATTATTATTACTTCTTACGTATTTAGTACAGGGGCTACAGGGTCTCACGAAACAGATGGGACTCGTAGTGATCCTTCTGTTTTCAGCCTTCCAAGCACTGGGATTACAGGTGCGCATCACCACGCCCAGTCTCAGTCACTGTCTCAGCATGCCCCGGGGGCGGGGCAGGCACGGCACACCAGGGATGGAACCCCGGCCCTGAGTCTGCCTAAGCAGGCACTTTAATCTGTTGAGCTATCTAGCCAGCCCTTGACATTTTTTATGAATATTAACATATATATATTAAATAATTGCTATTCTTTTTAGGGGCAGTTTGAAATAGGGTCTTGCTATATAGTCCAGGCTGGCCTTAAACTCACAGTAATCCTCCTACCATAGCCTCCCACGGGCTGGGATGCTGATGACAGACATGTCATCCCATGCCTGGCACAACTGGCAATCCATGGGAATTTTGTTTTCATTCTGTTTTTCTAGGCTTTAGGAGGGACAATTTAAATGTTAATATATTTTCTAACTGCTTAATATGAAAATATTATAATAAAGATATAATTTCCTGGAAAATCCTATTGTAATGTTAAATTATCTGAAAGATAAAAATGCTTTTACTTTTTTTTTTTAGATAGGCTCTTACTAGGTAGCGTAGGCTGGTCTCAAAGTCCTCATTGTCTTGCCTCAGCCTCCAGTGTGCTAGACTTAGGGTCATGTGCCATTACATCGAGCAAGGTAAGGGCTTTATTCAAAATTTCTCTCAATTCTTGGACCTTGCAAGAGTCTCATAGTTCTCTTTCTGTCCCACAGAACTATAGAATGTTAGTTTCCTTATTTTCTTAAAAGACTGTAAGAGATTTAAAAATTTTTATAAAAATGATTTACAATGCCGTGTATTATTAAACATTAAATGTTACATATTAACAATCACTCTGATTTTTTGTAGCACAAACTTATTGTTAACAAGCTGTTGCAGATATAGGAAAAACAAAATGAAATTCACTATAAGCATGACTGTTCATTTGAAATACCCGGCAATGACACAAATGGCAACTTTTAGTTGACTGGTCTGGTCATCGCAGAGCAGGCCTACAGTCAGTCACACAGCTACTCGAATGGTGTTAGGAAAGGCATTCAACTTGGCAGTGTCATACGCAAACATCATAAAGTGAGCATCACACGCGACATGCCAGGAAAGGAACAGAGAACATGCAGCGGCGGATGGAGGATGAACAGCTTCCGGCATCAGCTTCAGAGAGGGGAGAAGGTTAATGTCACAGCCCAGATTATTCTTGTGTTCTGATTTAGCCTTTAAGCCAATCATCATGAGAATAACTTTTAAAATATATGTTTAATTAAAGGAAGAAAGTCTGAACCAAACTAAATAAAATGTGCCAAACAACAGAAGAAAGAAAGAAAGAATTTCTAAGGGTATGGAAACTCAGCTGCCTGGGGGATTTATGCTTTAGGCTTATGTTCACCCACAAATCGAAATGGGTTGACTGACAAGAAAAACAAAGTCTAACTCATTTGGAATTTAAAACATTGTTTTGAAATTTAGGATGTGGCTATAAAAGTTACTAGTCAATTTAAAGTAATTTATCATGCAATCCACTTCTGTTATTCTAATTCTCCTCAGACATTTAACTTAATTGCAACTGTCATAGACAGAAATTGATGTGGACATACAACATTTTAGAATTTGAAAGACAGGAGATCTAGCAGTCCTCCAGAAGGGAAACGCAGTGGACTGCTGCTTCACAATTTATCAGACAAATTTAAGACATCCTTTGGTTTGGAAATTGTTTTCATTTTTAGATGGCAAAACTAATAGCACAGAGAAATCTGCTCTCCAGGGTGATGAGCAGTCAGGGCAGAGACGGGCTACCCTTGCCTTCGTACACTCAAACCGCACTCCTTTGATCATGGAAATGGAAACAGACATCTTCCAGGTCTCTGGCACATGTGCTGTCCCCACCTCAGTTGCCAGTGATGACAGTGGTGCTAGTGGATGTTTGTGTTAATATCCTCCAGTGGGCGTATGGCCTGGAGGAGAACAAGCTCACCCAGGCACAAGTCTGTGTTACAAACCTGGTCGCAGGGAGCTCAGGGGCTTACCACGTGCAGTGGGCGTGCTGACGCAAGCTGGTCGACAGAGCTGGGGATGTAGTTCAGTAGGACAGCACTTACTCAATGTGCATAAGGCCTGCTCCTCAGCATCACCAAAAGAAGAAAAAGTGGGGTGATCTAAGTGGAATGTAGAGTTAAAATTCTGTCTCACTGAAAACTGAGGCTGGCCTAGACCCCCGCTTGAGAAGCAAAGTTACACACCTCTCACATGTGATGGTGGTAGCATTTCTATCCCCTAACCAGATGAAGAGATGCTCAGGAAACACTAGGAGGACCAGTGACATCAGGTACCAAGACGTCAGGTACCTCCTCTCTTCCTTAAGGAGCCTCATGTCCACCAAACCTCAGTACTGGGGACTGAAACTAGGACCTTCAGACTGAGATACTACCCAGAACTTTTATTGTTTAGGACGGGGTCTCATTAGTTTGCCCAGGTTGAGTTCAAATTGCAGTTCTTCTGCCTCAGCTTCCCCGAGTGCTGGGATTGTAGGCACACACCACCTAGACTGGCTCGGAAGCCACAGTTGCACTTGAACAACAGAAACCCGTTATCCTACCAAAGCTAACCCTATTTTGGCCAAGCTACAGAAACCAGAGAATAGAAAGCAAGGACCCAATTCTATGTACCATCAATGGTTGCCATGTTTTTGAAACCACTATGCATATACTATCTTTGGTTCCCTAGGCAAAAGCAAAAGGTATTCTTCAGAGAAGATTCCACTGTAACCTAGATAGTTGTTCTAGAAAATATGTAACAAGTCAGAAATTCTACATCTTTCAAAGCTTAAAATCATGCCAACAAGATGCTTCTCAGTCATAGATGCCGGTCTTAAAGTTTCTCTGCCAAGACCAACAAACATCTACTGCTAGGCCCCAGATCACACTGGAGACCAGAGCAACCGCCAGGGGAGCCTCACCACACCGAAGGACACATGGCTCGTACTGAAAGGAAAACAACCCAGCAGAATTTACATATCCTGGGTGACGTTTCCCATTTTACAGTCTACACAGTCAAAGCATACCACTGCTCCACAGGTTTTTGAAAATGTGAAGGCAGTTTAAAGATCTAAGGGTGCATTCTCCATTTCTCCCTCTCTTTTAGGGGTGGGTGTAATTTTTGAGATGCAACCAACATTATCTCAGATCATGAGAAGCGCTGTCCAGGTCAGTAATACCTTTTTTTGTTTGTTTGGGCTTTTTTTTTTTTTTTTGTATTTTAGGGACCAGTCTACAGAGTGTTCAGGGTCTCATTACTAGATCAGACTTGTAGTGATCCGCCTGTTTAGAGCCTTCCAAGAGCTGGGATCGAACTCCCCTGCTGCTGTTCCTGCTTACAGGAGCTTTCATCTGCTGAGCTAAGTGGCCAGCCCTAGTAATACCATTTTGAGTAAAAATGTTGATGGCTATAAAGATATCACACAATGCTGTAAGCCAACAATATCATTGAGGCAACCACACCGCCTCTACTGAATGATTACTCAGGCTGGCCCAAGCTCAATGCTATGCTTCTGACTTGTGATAGAATTTATTCCCAACAGCCGCCCCCACCCCAAGAATAGACTAAGTTCCACATAAAGGAAAAGGAAACTTGCTCAGTGTGGGAAACATCCCTGAAACTGCAGTTACAAATAGCAGAACCTAGATTTCAACACGAATCTGAGTAACTGCAAAGCCCTTGCCATTCCTAATCCTTAAGTTTGCAGCCTCTCAAAGAGCTTAATTTCAAGTGGACAGCTTATAATTGGATAAATTATGGTGTACTGATCTCATTACCTCACAGTATTACCTGTTTTTCTCATTCTCCCATCTATGCTTTCAATATGATAATACTTAAATCTTCTTTTAGTTTTTAAACTTCCCTCCCTAACACCAACACCTCCAAACATCAACACACTGACACTGTAGCGTTATTTTACAGCCACAGATGCCCAACAAAGGATTAACCCAGCAGGGATGGAGGCTATGTTGGTAGCAGAATGTTTGCCTAGGGTACACTAGGTCCTGGTTCTAGAACTAAAAAGAAAAAAGAGAAAGAAAGAAAGAAAGAAAGAAAGAAAGAAAGAAAGAAAGAAAGAAAGAAAGAAAGAAAGAAAGAAAACTAATACAGCATGGCAATAAAAAGCAATGTCTGTTTTGAAGCTGAGGACAACGGCCCATACCTGTAAACCCAGCTACTTGGGAAGCTGACACAGGAGGACTGCACATTCCAGGACAGCCTGGACAGTATAGCAGGGCACTATCTGAAAAGTAACAAGAGCTGAGGATGTAGCTCGGTGACAGAGCACTTTCCTAGCATCCCCAGGTCCTTGTGTTCAACCCTCAGTAAGGAGCAGAAAGGAGTGTATTTCCGCTAAAAATGAGGAGGAAAAAAAAGATCTAGTTCTGTTTGCAACAGCCCCAGATTCAATGACTTTAAAAATTACTTCTGTGATGGAAAGCTCTTATAAAATAGCCCACGTGCTGTATGATCTATCTGTCCTCCATGCCAGAAGACGATAGCTTAAAATAACATGAAAGACTTTTGAAATAAACTAAGAACACTCATTTCTAAGGTAAGAACAGAACCTTAACATCAACTAATATTAAACCTCAACATCAAATTAATATTAAAGCTCAGAATATACCAATGATAGAACAAATCTGATCAATTTATTATTTCAGAAAGTCCTGACTTAAAAGAGAAAAATCCCAGAAGGGACAGAACCAAACACACTGTCTGATCATGATCCATTGAGTTTTTGTGAGATAAATATTTAATAAGAAGAGATACTCTTTCTGCTTATTGAAATGTTTTAGTCACTCTAAATTAATGTTCTCCATGTGTTTCAAATCACTATTTTCAAGTTGTCTTAAAAGAAAGCACTTAGCATAATGAAACCGCAATTCATAGAGAAAGCTGAATCACCATACCCAGGAGCTGTTAAAGAAAATTACAAAAGAGAGGAAAGAAATACGAAGACAAAAATCAAATTTTAAAAAAAGTTTCAAAGCAATGTGAAGAAAATTAAAGCAAGTGAGAGGACAGGCCACAGTCTTTAAAAGGGTATAAGATTTCAATCCCTTTACCTGATGCTGTTACCAGGAGGCTGTCTGAGGCACCTGGCCTACGGGATGAGGCACTAATGGGGCGTATGGAAGAGCGAAAGGCATTGGTTGTGGGGACAACAAGGGACCTGTCTGAACATGCAGGTGGGCTCAGTCCAGGGGATCCAGCAGGCCAGGCACCCACCTGAGATGTGGCCAGGGCTGAGACTGCACAGCCTGCAGGTGCCACAGTTAAATCTATGGATGGTTTTGGTGGCAGCTGAGGGGAGGATGCTTTGGGGGCGTTCTCCTCATTTGTTACCCTGCTCCCTTGTGGCAGAGTGGAGGGAGGTGAAACCGCACTTTTGTTATCAACTTTGGCCCCTGCATTTGAGGCCCTGCTACTATCCATCATAACCTTGATTTGGGGATGTGGTGGAGAAGGTGTCTGGGAGAGCCCTGGCTTTTTTGGAGGAATGGGAGGAGGATTTCCTCTGTCAACACGTGGTACACCAGGAGTCTTTAAACTGGTTCGACCAACTGGAGGGTGGGTGCCACCCTCCCCTGCAGGGGGCGCTCCAGGCCTAGAGGGGGCACCTGCTTGTGGGCTTGTAAATCTTGATAGTGCTTGGGTGACAGTATTCCGAGCTAGCTGTTTGGCCACAAGGTTGTCACGGCTGGTAGGAGAGATATCTCTTGAAGGAGGACTTTGTGTAGTGTTTCCATTTTGGTCTGGGTCATTAGCATTGCCCTGAAATCTGAATCTAGCTGCTTGGATCCGCGGGTTTAGACCTGGATGCAAAGATGCATTTGCACACGGTGAATGTAAACTGTGTGCTGGGGGAGCCTGTGAGTGGGCCTGGGGAGCCGCGCCTGACGGCTGGGCAGGCAAGGGGGGCGCACTACTGGGAAGCGCTGGGGTGCTACTTGTCACATCAGGGGCTGAGCCACAGCTTGGTCCGTTTTCCTCCACTCGGCTTGCACCTGGAGGTAGGGCAGCGGACACGGGCTGCTGAGAGTAGCTGATCAAGTCGCCGTGGGAAGCCTGCCTGTCAATACTGGGTCTAACCAGCGGGGCGCTGGCGCACACGTTCGCCTTTGCGCTCGCAGAGATGCGCGAGCTCCCCGCAGAAGGCTTAGCAGGCATGGTCAGAGGCGCCTTCTTCCCAGGCTCACTGCTTTCGGTCACCAGGTCAGTCTGACAAGTAACAGACTTAGCTACAGGTCCTTCTGTCCCCACAGACACGGAAACCAATCGCCTATCTTTTGTCTTCCGTGGGAGGGAAAGGCTGGGCTTGCTGTCACCTCCTCTTTTCAGCTGCTCCGTCGTTTTCTTCATCTTGTCTATCTCCTCTTGGAGGTCAGAGCTGTGTGCCTCTTCTCGGCTCAGCTTGGCACGAAGCCGCTCCCGCTCAGTGTCAAGCTCGGAGAGCTGCTTCTCCATCTGAGCCTCCATTTCTGCGCTTCGTCGCTTCTCCGCCGAGAGCGCCTCCTCTAATTCACGTGTCTTTTTCCTCTCCTCCTCCAGCGTGGCCACCACTCCTTCCAGCTTCTGGGCTTCCTCTATGACTCTGCCCGAGAGCTGCTTACACTCCTTCACCAGCATCAGGACCACCTGCTTGTTCTTGCCCCGCTCCTCCTCCAGGCGGGTGGCCAGCTTCCTGTGCTCCTGCTCAAGAGCTTGTAGCTGGAGCTTTTCCATTTCCAGCTGGAAAACATTCACAGGGAAGCCCATGTTAATAAACACACAGTATTCTTTTCACCAAAGAGGTTTTGGGGGAAGGTTTTATTAATTTTCTAACTGCTATATGGTTTTCATTAGCAATAATGCCACATTTTGAAAATGTGTTGTGATAAAAATATTTTAAAAAGACCATTAAAATGAGAAAATAGCTGTAAAATAGTTTTGTGAAAATATCCAGGTTACAACAACAATTGTTCTAATGTATCAAAGTACATAAAAAGAGGACAATAATCAGATAATTCTGTGCCTCAGCAATTCAGTTCAATTTCTGTTAAAGTAGAATTCAGTGAGGGAACTAGCAACATTTATTTATTTATTTATCTCTTTATTTATTTAATGTATTTGGTACAGGGTCTCACTCTGCAGATCCAACTCCTAGCGAGCCTCCTGTTTTCAGTCTCCCCACCACAGGGATTACAGGTGTGGACCATGCCCAGCCTTGGTGGTCAGCTCTGGGGGCAGGGCCGGCGGGGCTTGCAGTAGGGGTAAAGGGGAATCGAATCCCAGGTCCCTACACTTGCCTAAGGAGGCATTTAGTTCACTGAGCTGTCTCGCCAGCCCTACTAGTGATATTTAAAAGGTTCAATGCTTTCAAATACTCATTAATCTTTAAGGTTCGAGTAGACTGAGCGGGTTAAAGACACGGAAAGCACCTTTTCTCTTCTTTAGATGTTAAAAACAAATCTCATTCTATTGTACTTTTCTTTAATTGTGCTTAACAGATAAGGGATTTTTTTTTCTTTCAAATTGATAATTAGTGTTAAGGTGGTTAATAGGCCATTTTTCTAACAGGTAATCCTTAGCATTTTTTCACAGTAAAAAATATTTTAAGTTATACACATGCTGCAAATATAATACTATTCTACTTAGCAGCCTACAGTATAGTCTTAGCAGAACACTTAAGTAATTCACTGGAAGATGAAAATATTTATTTCAATATTTGCTTCACTACAATAATCTGACACTAACCCTACAGTATGTTCCCATGAAAGTTCCTGGTATTTATTGAAGTCAAATTCCAATCATCCATAACAGAGTAAAGACACATTAAATTGGGTTACTGCCCAGCTAGGGATAAGAGATACTATTTATTTGGGATGCTTTCTCCCTTGAACAGGTTTTTAATTAATTTATTTATTTATTTTGTGTGTGTGGCCTGCTCAGTCCACCAGGGGGCGGGCTGGCTGGCATGTGGTGCTGGGGGATTGAACCGCGGTCCCCGTACTTTGATTGGCTTAGTTTATTAGGTGCTTTAGACCACTGAGCCATCTCACCAGAGGCCATGACCTCCTGGGGCTTGAAAGGCTACACCAAAGCTGAAGCACCAGACTCACCAAAACATTAGATACCATATAATGCAGATTACTCTCTCTGCATATCCTCTCTGCATATTACAGAGGTAAATGTAGGCCACCCACCTAGCTCAGCTCGTAGGAGTCTCTTTCCCACAGTTCTCAGTCAATCCTCAAGCCACTCCCCCACTGAATAAAACTGGGTGAGGCCCTGGGTCACTCTCTGGGTTCCAGAAAGCCATCTTCATGGCTGGACTTAGAGCCCCTTGACTCCCCGATGATTGAAGATATAATTTAGTGTCTTTATTTTCGCCGTGGGTTGCATTGTAAGTGGTAGTTTGGTATCAATTTGATGGGATTCCAATAACATAACTTTGGGATTACAAATATTGGCTTCTTGGACCGAGATGAGGACCTGGAAGTGTCTCCTACAAAAGGACTGTCAGTCTACCTCAGAGACTCCTTTATCAAGAGAATCCAAACGTACTCCCTTGCTCCCCGCTGCACAGCATCCAGTCTCCTCCCGTCAGCCTTTATTAAAGCCTCACCAGCCTGTCGAGGTTCTTCTGTTCAATCTAAGGGGAAATGGTTTCCATCTGTTCAGCATTAGACTCTCCTTTAGCAATTACCTTTCTTCTTTTGTGTCACCTTTGGGACTTGCTCCATCAATTATTACATTGCTCTTTATAAATACTGAGCATCTGCTCTTTATGAAATCCTTCTGTTCAGGGCAGAAACAAAGTTCTACACTTGAATTTGTGGAGAAGGTGCACTGGCGATTAAAACTAAGGGCTTCCCACAAAACTCCATCTCCCCTGCCTCCACTTTGAGATTGAGCTTTCCACATTGCCCAGACTGGGCTTAAATGTGCAATTTTCCTGCCTCAGCCTCCCAGAGTGCTAGAATTACAGGAATGTACCACTGGGGCCAGCAAATACAATTTTTATATTAAAAATATTCCTTGACCATTCTGTGCAGAGACAAAGTCTTTGAGCTTAAAAGACTATAATGTATCAACTTTTGATGCCAAACTTCTTAGCTGTGTGAGACTTTAATAAGTTAGTACTCTAAAACTTGGATGTGTATGTTCCCCTTATTTGCAAATTAGAGTGTAGCAGTAACACCTTTACAGTGTCAGATGTAAGACCCATGTGTTAAAAATGAAAGAAGGTCCTTGTCTTGGGCAAAGCTGCCATGCTAAGACAGACTCATGCACACTAGAGTTCCACACCATCAGGATTAAACTAAACTATTTATCTGATCTTGAAGGAAGTCAAAACTAGGTAACAGCAAAATTTCCCAAACTGGTCAGGATAAATAAACGTGATGAAGAAGTTTCCTCTGTTTTAATAACTGACATAGCCCGATGTTAACTAACCAGTTAGTTTTCTATTCTGTCTTCCTGTCCCTGTTACAAGGAAGTAACTTTAAAATGACCAATCCATTGTGTTGTTCCCTTGTTTCTGCTTTCTTCAGCCTTTCTTGGTCTAGAAAACCAGGCTCAGGCCATCAAAACACTTACTCTATTTTATGGAGTGAAGTGTTGCCCAATTCTAGAATAAAAATAAAACCAATCAAGATCATTAAGCCACCTGGGCATGATGGCGCTATTTGAGAGGCTGAGGCAGGAGGATCACAAGTGGTAGGCTGTCACGGGCAACTTGGCAAGATCCTGACTCAAAATGAAATAAAAAAGCTTGGGAATATTGCTCAGCACTAGAACACTAGCTTAGCATGTGCAATGCCCTGGGTTCAATATTAGTACGGTCCCCTTGTTCCCGAATCATATATAAAACATATATAGCACATATATTTTATATAAATATGGTAAGTCCATGATTCATCAAGTTGTGTTCCAGAATTCTTTATAGTTTTGTTTATGTTAACAAAGTGAGTCTTATATTATGTATCTCTAAAAGTTTGCAACTTGAATATAAGTTACTTACTGCACACATGTGTGTGCATTTTATATATGTATGTATATATACATATATATACACACACATAATATATACATATAACACACACACACAAAATTCCTTAGCAAAATATTTCAAGAATGTAATATTGGCTCAATACTCAAAAAGAAAGCGCATCATACTAGAGAACAGAAGTCAGTCATCATGTATGATGAACAGAAGTCACCAACTATCATTGCAGGAGAACAGGAAGACCCTGATTATCTCAACAGGTGGAGCTAAATCGTTTTTCAAAATTAAAAAAAAACAACATTCACAATGAAACAACCCTTCAATAAGAAATAGAATGGCAACTCAAAGACATAAAGCAAAACTCTCAATATATTTTATGGTGAAAATGGAATATTTTCTCCTTAAGAAAAGGAAAGAGGGCAAAGAGGCCCGCAGTCACAACTGCTTTTGACACTTGGGTAGATGTTCCAAGCTCTGCAGTATGTGGGTGTGTGAGGGAAAAGGCAGGCAGGCACCAATTTAGAAAAGCAAAATGTGCCTTACTTACATATAATACATTTACAAAGAAAATGAAGTATAATATTGTTATAGTTTGTGTCTAGTTGTTCAGCCCAAAGTCTCATGTAAGTCATACGGTAGACTTTTAGAGTCTGTGATTAACTCATGATTCACTGGGAGTAAGGGTGTGAGTGCTATTGGGAAAGTGGGTGTGAGTGCTGCTGAGAGAATGGGCGTGAATGCTGCTGGAGCATGGGTGTGAGTGCTGCTGGAGTATGGGTGTGAGTGCTGCTGG